AAACCCCATTGCCTGAGGCTCTAGGTTCAAACTTTGCTCCTTCAGGGATTCAGAGATGCCCCCAGGGGCCCCCGACTGTGTGCTGGGGTCAGGGACTCTAGTCCCCGTCCTTGGCCAGACCCTCAGCTTGGATCTGTTTTCTATATTGGGGTTCTGGCGCAGAAGTCCATGGCGTTAAACAGCGTGAAATCTAACAGGCAGTGGCCCCACTTCCTAGTTGGGTCTCCAGAGCCCTTTGTTGGTCTGTCTTTTTTTTTTTTTTTTTTTTTTTTTTTTAAAGATGGGGTTTCGCCATGTTGGCCAGGCTGGTCTTGAACTCCTGACCTCAGGTGATCCACCCACCTTGGCCTCCCAAAGTGCTAGGAGGTGTGAGCCACCACGCCCAGCCTGTTGGTCTGTCTTATCCCCTTTGGTCTTTGCGTGGCTGGTCCCTCCTCGGCTGGCTGCCCTCTCTGCTCCTTTCCTGCCTTTTTACTTTCTGTGCAAAGCCTTCCCTGTCTGCCCCAGCCCAACCCCTGTGGTTTTGGCCCCTTCTTTTAAACTCATTTGACATAGAACCATAGGTTGCCTTAGACACTGCTGGTGTTACTGGCCCCAGTGTTAGTGGGGTCTTATGAAGCTGCTGGACCCCCAGCCTGGCTTTTCCCTCTCTGGTATTGGCTGAGCACGCACCGTGGAGGTGGCCCAGGCAGCCTTATCTGGCATGTCCAGCAGGGGGCGGTGCTTACTCACAGATGACCATGTGGTCCCTCCAGCTGGGGCTGGGCTGGGAAATGTTTCACTTTTTTACTTTACCAACTTCCACTCAGAAAGTCAGCCTGTCACCCCACCCCCAGGGCTGGGGTAAGCCATGAAGCTGCCAGCCATGGATGACAACCAGGCCCCAGCGGGGGAGGAGGGAGAGTCTCGTGGCACACGGAGACTGGGTGATGTGCTTTTAGGGCAGTGCTGCTTAGGCCCAGCCACCCACTGTGTACCCGGAACCATTGGTAGGAGCTGGCCAGCTAGAACCTTGAGGGTGGGAGGCCTGGAAGGGTTTGCAGCAGTGAGAGCCTCTGCCACCATCCCCTGGGGAGGAAGGGAGCCAGGCAATTCCCTTTTCCCATAGCCCCAGAGCAAGTGAGTTTCCGGATTGGGGGTGGATAGGGGCGGGGAGTCCTATCCCAGGAAACAGATGGGCAGCCTCAGAGCGGAGGGAAATGGCAACCCCACCGCTTCCTCTCATCCCACGCAACCAGCGTTGGTGGGGGTAGTGAGGAAAGGGTTGCTTGGAGCAGGGAGGCACTCCACCCACCCCAGGGCCTTTTAGCCTGGGCCCCATGGGAGGGCAGGCCATGTCTGGAGCAGGACTTGGTGTCCCCTCCCTGGCTGGAGTTGATGCCGCCGAAAGTGAGGCAGCAGAGGGCACTGAACTGGGAGGGAGAGAGGGCTCCCCAACTCAGCCTCGTGGAGCCTGCTTTTCCCGTTTGAAAATGGGTGATTCCTGCTGCCCATCGCCCAGGCTCTTGTCAGGCTCCCTGAGATGTTGGCCGTGTTGGGAGGGGACACAGATGAAACAGTCTTGTGCCAGCGACTCAGCGCAGAGCCTGGCATGCTGTGTGTGTTTCCTGGCCATCACCCTGTCATTTCCTTGTTCCTGTCCTTTGGGCCAGCTACATGGCATGGGGCAGCCCCACTGGGAAGAGCCATGGAAGCCACAGTCCACCTGCTCTTGTGAAGGGCCCCATGCCTTTCATCTGCAGGTAGATGGCTCACCAAGCCTGGCCTTGCTTATCGGGGCCCTTGGAAGGTGCTGGGATCCAAAAGTCATCCCTGGATTGCCTTGTGTGGGCCCCAGTGGTGGCGTCGACCCCTGAGCACTCTCCTTCACTCCCCTATGGCCCTCATCTTCACATTGCCTCCTGCTGGAACTCCTGCCGGAGCGTCTTTGTCCCTTGGAGCAGTCACTTTCAGCCCTTCGCCTGCTGAGTCGTGGGTTCACGTGTTCAAGTCTTTCCCAAACTTCCTTAGGTACATCCAGATTTTGTCTAGCACACAAACAGCTGGGGTGTGGGCTGCAGGGAGCCAGAGGATTCTACAGATCTGGCCCATTACTGCTCCTGGTGGACCAGTATGTCCAGACCTCCAGGGAAAGCCGCCAACCTCAAGGTAGCCAAATCAGGGAGACTGAGAGGGGTGGTGGAGGGACGTAGATTTGCCACAAGCCTCACACACCAGCAGTGGGGGAGAGCGGTCACCAGCCAAGACGACCTTGAGTATGTTGGGGCAGGTAGACAACCACGTCTCAAGAGAGGCAGCTGAACACGTTTCTGATGCTGGGACCCTGGGTAAGTCCGTTCTTTTTGGCCTTAGTTTTTTATCCACACAATGAAGGAGGGGCAGGTTCTCAAGTAATCCATCTCCAGGGCCTCTTCTGGCACTGGTGTTAGAAGATTCTAGATGTATGGGCAAAAAGGACTAGGACCCAAAGGCAGCTGAGAGAAGGTCCTGGGGCCCAGGAGCTTCAGGGGCCAGGGGGTTTTGCAATTCCATAGTTGTCATGTAATTGAGTGGCAGTGAAATCTGGGTTGTCAGGCAGTTTCTTCCCTGGGGTTGGCAGCCTGGTCCATGCAGGGGAGTGAAAATGCTTTCCTCCACCTTGCCAGGTTGCTTGGCTGGGCTATAAGTTCAATGGACTTACAAACAAGATTAACAGGGCCAGGCACAGTGGCTCATGCCTATAATCCTAGCACTTTGGGAGGCTGAGGCGGGCAGATCACTTGAGGCCAGTTTGAGACCACCCTAGCCAACATGGTGAAATCCCAACTCTACTAAAAACACAAAAATTACCCGGGTGTGGCAGGTGCCTGTAGTCCCAGCCACTCGGGAGGCTGAGGCAGAAGAATCTCTTCAACCCGGAAGGCAGAGGTTGTAGTGAGCTGAGATCGCATCATTGCACATCCAGTCTGGGTGACAGAGTGAGACTCCATCTCAAAACAACAACAAAAAGATCAACAAGAGAAAACCACATTTAATGACATACCTGCCCATGGGTGTACCACAAAATATGAGATTCCCAGAAGGGTGGGGTGACTGACGTGTATAGCAGCCTGAGCTACAGAAGGGAATAGTGGCCTCGGGCTTCTGAGGGTGATGGCAACACAGGTTATGGAAGCATGAGGGGAGGAACTGTATGGGGAATAAAGGTGGTCTTGTCAGGCAGATGGTGGTCTTCTCAGATAATAAAAGATGTCTCAGCAGATTGTCAACAAGTCAGTCTTCCCTTCCCAGGGAGGGGGATTCAGGACAAGGGAGAATCCCCCCTTGGGCAGCTAAGGGAAGTTCAGAGAAAGTTCCTCCCTGCATTTGTTTTTCCCCCAAGTGCCTTCAGGTTGGAAATAATCAGCATACCAAAGCTGCATATTATGGGGTGGCATTTCCTGACCGCCTTCCTCCACACCCTTCAGACTTGGGAGAAGACAGGCTTCCCCCTAGCTTTTGTCAGGGCAGGTGTCAGCAGAATTCAGAGCCGAAAGGGCTTTTCTAAAGACAGAGAAAGGAGTAGGCTGGGCTCGGGCTCAGAGAAGGATACATTTCTAGGGTGTCCATCGGGACATCCAGGTCTGTTGAGGGTGAGGAGAAGAAGGCTCTGCTCATACACAGTGTGGATTATATCCCGACTTTCTGGAGGATCACTTGACAATATTGAAAGAAATGAAACATATTCATAGGCCTTGATTCACCCACAGGATTAAACTGCTTGTTGTGTACTTACAAAGTGCAAGGATGTTCCTTATAGCATTGTTTATAATTTCAGTGCGAAACCAAGCAAACAAAATGTCCAGCAGTAGAGAGCTGTGGTGCCCTTATTACTTGTGGGGAAGTCTCTCAGTGGATTCCTTGGCAATGGTTCAGAAAAATGGGGTGGCTCTTTCTCTGCTGATGGGAGCAGCCCTGGAGATAGAAGCAGAATAAGCAAGGTGTAGGAGCTAGTGAACTGGGCCCCCCAGGCCAAATCTGGCCCACTGCCTGTTTTTGTATAGCCTACAGCTAAGAATGCTTTTTACATTTTAATTTTTATTTAGTTTTTCATTTTTGAGACAGGGTCTTGTTCTGTTGCTCAGGCTGGAGTTCGGTAGTGGGATCACTGCTCACAGCAGGCTTGACCTCCCAGGCTCCAGCAGTCCTCCCAGCTCAGCCTCCCAAATAGCTGAGACTGCATGCATGCCATCACACTCTGCTAATTTTTTTCCTTTTTTTTTTTTTTTTTGTAGAGACACGGTTTCGCTGTGTTGTCCAGGCTGGTCTCAAACTCCTGGGCTCAAGTGATCCATCTGCCTCTACCTCCCAAAGTGCTGGGATTACAAGCGTGAGCCACTATGCCCAGCCCGATTTTTACATTTTTAATTGGTTAAAATAAGTCAAAAGAAAATTGTATTTTGTGACTCATAAGAAAAGTGATATGAAATTCGGATTTCAGGTCCACAACCATTTACTGGAGAACAACAGTACCCATTCATTTACGTGTTGCCTATGGCTGCGTTCCTGCTACTGGAGTGGAAGAGTTACCACAAAGCCTGAAACATCATCTGGCCCTTTCTAGAGAAGGTTTGCTGACCCCTGGTGTGCAGCCTGATTCCCTCAGTATGTTCACATCTTAAGTTACTGTGTGTGCTTCTTCCTCTGGAGGTGGTTACTTTTGTGGAGGGGGACCAGAGGAGGAAGGGAAACGCGTTTTTCATTTTGTATCATTCTGTTCAGTTTTAATTTTCTAACCTATGTGTATGTGTGTGCTTTTGTTAAGTCAGTGGGGCTTTTGGTTGAAATATTTTGGAACATTCTTGGTAACTTTGTGCTTTTTTTTTTTTTTAATTTTTTTATTTTTTTTTTTAAAGTGTTCACTGAGGAAAGAGCAGGAGACATAAGGCCTGGTTTGAGGATTTCCTTTTTTTTCTGGGTGGGGGCCACCTGCCCACTCTGTGGTCCTGTTGTGGAATCCCGGAGACCTTTATTTGTGCCCACCTGCTTGGCTGGCCCCTTTCTCCTCCGGCCTGCAGCTCTGTCGCCTGCTTCTCTAGGGACAGAACTCTGTTGGCTGCTGGTCAGAGGGTCCTGCACCCCAGGGTCCTTCCCTGATTGCCCAGAACCACGCCCTATGCAGAGCATCCGTAGACCACCTCTCTGGTTTCCTTCTTGAAAATTTCCTGGAGTTGGGGAAGCACGCAGAGGATTGGCACGAGGAGCTGACACAAACAGAACACCAGCTTCCCCGGGGAAGATGAGAGAGCGGCTATTTCCTGCCGAGCCCAGCGGGAAAGAGTCAGGGTCACAGAAGGGCTAGGGCGGCACAGTGAGCTGGCTGGACCCCTAGAAACCATGTGGTCCAAATGGCTCATGCATGGGTCATAAGGGAAAACCAGGGACAGGAAGAGGGGGCTCACCCACAGCCTGCCAGCGAGGGAGCGAGTTAGCAGAACTGGGGCTTGAGGCCAGGTTTCTTGGGTCCTGTCAGCAGGTGAACTTGAGGAGCTCAGACCTGGAGCTCATTCTCTGCTCAAGCTCACCAATGCTTGAGGATGGTGGAATTTGGGGATTCCTATCTTGATCTGTCTTGCAGTCAGGCTACCGGTTCCCCACCTATCTGTTAGACTGAGCCCTAGCAGAGGGTGGAGCTTGGATCTTAGCAGCCCTGCCCTGCCATATAAGAGGCTCAGTAAATGTTTGCTGAGTTGAGGCATCATCATGAGCCCTGGAACCCACTGAGCCAACCAGAACTCCCTCGGGGGTTTTGTTCACGAGGCCACCTCCTCCACAGCTCCCCCGCCTCACGTGTCAACCGCACTGGGCCCCGAGAATCCTTTTTCCTAGGATGTACCGGCCACTCCCATGCTCAGGTTAGTGTTAGCTTCTTGGCTGGCCACTAGGTCCTGGGCACAGATCTGGAACATGCCAGCGTCAACGCTGGCGGGCCCAGTGTCAGGGTCCTCTGCTGTACGTCCTGGCCCAGAGGCCTGGACCACCAAAGCCCTGGGTTCCTTGCTTTGTCACAGTTGAAGTGCATGCCTGCCCCTTTTTCTTGAGAATCCCCCTTGGTCTCCAGTGGAGCCATCATCACGCCCTACCAGAAACACCTGCTCTCCAGCCGCTCAGCTGCTGGCCCCAGCTGGGCTCTTCTCCTTTCCTTGTATATGCCAGAGCTGTGCTATCCGATAAATTAAATCTGAATGCGGCAGCCACTTGCCACATTCAAATTTAAATTTAAATAAATTAGAATGTAATAAAAAATGCAGTTCTTCAGTCACAGCAGCCACACCTCAGGTGCTCTGCAGCACAGGAAGGGCGGTTCCCATCATTGCAGAGATGGAAGTGCTCTTCATGGATAATGCTGTAGAGCTGTGGTTGTCAACATGGGCGATTATACCTCCCAGGGGACATTGGACAATGTCCATAGACATTTTTGGTGGTCCTAAGTTAGGGGCGGTGGTGCTACTGGCTCTTGGTTCTAGTGGGTAGAGGCCAGGCATGGGCTTGGCGTTGGAGACCCAGGCCATGGAATTTGTCTCATCCTGTTGCTACCAGTGCCTCTCCACAGGTTCCTTTGATAATCTGCCCCAGAAGTAGCCTGGCCACACTAGGAGCCTGAAGTAGAAAGGGGAGGTATCACTCTAAATTCTGATTCCATGTCTCCTGACCAGACCCAGATCAAGATTCTTGATGTCTCTTCAGAAAGAAGAGGAAATCAGATTTGCCAACTGGCTTCAGG